TTCAATTCGTAGGGTTGAAGAACTAGCCAAGAGTGTCCCTGCTGAGTTTTAAGATGGCCGGTTGAGATGACCAGTGGTCAGTAACAAATGGCCACAACGGAGCTGTTGTCGTCGGACTTATTTATGGCCGGACTGATCCATTATTCACCAGGTGTCTCCTTTATTTATATACCTCCTCATCATCATCATCAAACATCGTCCAATTCCTGCCGCTATAAATATCGCTCGGTTTCATTTATTTATCCTCGGATAGCTTGTCCTTCTTACTCGCCGGACACTTCTTCCAAGTTCTCTCGCCCGTCGCTTGACCTGTCTTCCCATTAGATAGTTCCGGTAGGACATAATGGTCTGTTTTACATTTGCATATCTACGTCAGGTATGTAAATAGGAACCGACAAACGTGGGCGTTTGTTTCACATTTGCATATCTATGTCAGGTATGTAAATAGAAATCGACAAACGTGGGAGTCTGTTTCACATTTGCATATATACGTCTAGTGTGTAAATAGAAAGCGACAAGATGTAGGGATCAGTTTCACATTTGCATATCTACATCGAGTGTGTAAATAGGAAGACGACAGCACCCGGGGACCAATAACCCTCCACCCACTAATCGCTGACTCGCAGGGACATATTGTGACCGCGACAATCCGACCGAAAGCTCCCGCCTGGATGGTTCCGCTATTGGTGTCGTCTTGCACCGGTTTATTGAACCCCTAATTGGAGCTCCTCTTGTTGATCACTCCGATGGATCATCCCCCAATATCAGCTCACTGTCTGCCCAACACAGAATGTCGTCACTGAGACTTCACGGTGAAGTTGCTGAACGCTGCCAATACCCTATACCTATGTAATGTGTGCGCGCGTTTGTGTCAAAAATCTTTGTTGGATCTTGTTGGATCCGTAAATTTTCAATTCATTATTCTTTATTTTAAAGAAAAACTATAAATCTCTCTTAAAATTTAATTATTCAAATATTTAAAGTTCTCAATAATTTACACTCGCAGACAAAACTTAAGGAAGTGGAAAGTCTTTGATATCGCCGGTCGTCTATTTTTTTTTTTTTAACGGAAAAAGAGACAATTTTGTTCACACTTGGTTTTCTCGCTTCTTCAATAAAGGTCACTGTAATATATTTCAGAGTTATTGTCTGAATCCCGATATACATGGTAAAAGGTACAGGTTCCTTAAGTTTTGTCGATAAGTACATATATGGAAATAATTCTAAATCTTTAAAAAATAGTTTTATTGTTAGGTACATATGTAATTTATATGTAATCAGAGAGAACTTTGGGTCAATACTCCAATGCCGATAACACCTGTAGAGCTAACTCTGAATCCCAATAGAAATATGTCTTTAATCCTGATTCAAGTAGCGAAACTATATTGTTTATTGAACATTCATCAGTGACCCCATAGCACCATCTATCGGCGAATGGACTCACTATTTCTGTTCCAAAATAACTTTATTAGGCACTGCTCAAAATGAACAGCCTAGCTTAGGTTATTTACAATGATAAATATGAACAGGTTCTGACAGAAAAAAAAGTGTCCAATGCGGGATTCAATCCCGGTTCATGGCTGTCGGGAATCGAGGGTGTTACCCACTCATCCCCGGCCTCTCCATTTTTAATCCTTGCCGTTTAAAAAAAGCCCGGGTTTTACCCGATTAAATGCTTTTATTCAAATACTATTCGTTACAATTATAAATTGGCGCCGTGGATGTCATTCTTGTAAAATATATAAATGAGTTTTAAAAATTGTAAAAAAAAAAAATGCATCGGCCGGGAATCGAACCCGGGCCGCCCGCGTGGCAGGCGAGCATTCTACCACTGAACCACCGATGGTTATTAGAAATGGCCATATTTGGGTATTTATTCCATTCACAAAAGCAAACGGTGACAGAATTGATTATGACGCTGATAACTGTATATTTTAATTAGAGCGTCATCTGTTATGAAAATTCAAAACTACTATAGACGCGTATGATTCTTTTAAAAATTTAAATAATTTCAACTGTCCCCTTACTGCAATGAAAAAATTAATGGGAGGGCCTGGCTCATCAGTGGTAAACCCTTCCAGCGGAAATTAAACTGGCGAAACCGCTGGGAGGGTTCAACACTGATGAGCCAGGACCTCCCATTAATTTTTCCATTCCAGTAAGGGCAGTAGAAATTGTTTAAATTTTAAAAGAATCATACGCGTCTATAATATAGTTTTGAATTCTATCTATAAAAGGAAGCTTGACAAATGTCAGCGTCTGTGTATTTGTGGGTGGGTTTGGGAGAATTTTCTTAATGCCGTTATTGCGTTGAAAGCCTTTTTAACACACAACTCCCAAAATAATATCTATTATATTTATATTAAAAAATTTCATTAATAAATTCAATTGCCATCTATCGATAAAATAATTATTTTGGCAATATCATCATTTGATGATCTTATTAAAAAGAAGCACACCCAAGATAGTGGACACTGCTGTGATGGAGATGTATGGAAACATCTGAGGCTCTTAATTGGACACGACAACAACAACATTAAAAAGAAACACATTGCCAAAAAATAGGCAATTGCAAGTCTTAACTATTTATGAAGAGAATTCGATAAAATATACAAATGGAAAAATTTGAAAAAATCAAGTTAATTTGAATACAATTAGTTTTTTTTTTCTCTAAAGCGAAGAGAGAAAATTAAGTGTTTAATTGGAAAATGATTCAAACTTAACGATATATGAAACTTAGTCACCAGACGATCAATAAAATGGTAAACATGGAACGTCCTGGTCAAATTTTAATAAATATAATGTGATTTCATAGATGTAAATGTCTCTCGTGAATAATTAAAGGAACAAATCACCTCTGTGGATATTGATCATCCGTACCTCTTTGTTATATTAAACCCTGTTTAATTAAATCAATTAGTTATTAATGGGATATATAGTTTTTTAAAGGTGCTTTTAACAAGAGTCGATAATTGGATGCAAGAAAAAATCCTACCAGACGACGACAACGACGCCCTTTTAAACAAAACGAAGTAATAATATTCTATATTCGGATCAATTAGAAGTGTAATTAAGTTATAATTACCCGGCAATCAATATTATAACTAATTAATTATTGAAAAAACAATACAAATGTGATATTGTACTGGGATAAGGAACATAAATTATGAAAAAAGGCATCTCCGTATCGTGTAACTGAAAGTTGCTGATGGCACAAGCAAAAAGAAAATGCCTTTTTCATAATTAATTATTATTTCTTCTTAAATTCGAAACTATTATAGACGCGTATGATTCTTTTAAAAAAATAAACAATTTCTACTTTTGATATTTTTCAATTTTAATAACGCAAATGCATCATAATATTATTTCTTCTTCTTTTAGTATCAGCCGATAATAAGCCGCCATTTTTTTAATATTAGATGTTGCCATTAGAAAAGTACAAT